AGGAAGGAAAAAAAGAGAGGGAGAAATGGTTTCCCCGCGATTCGCGCGTAGAGTAGGGGAGGGGAAACGGAGGAAGTTTTCAGCGAATTTAATGACCATTTTGCCTTCATCATAAATCAATGGCATGATCTAATCGAAACCCTAACTATCCCATACATACGTTTCTTCCATTTTTTTTTTGCAGCCGCTCTCTCTCTCTCTCTGCGATCCCTCCCTCCACGGTCTCTCTCTCTCCCGCGCGTCTCTCTCCCTGCTTGGCCTCTCTCCCCGCGCGGCCCACCCCACCATCCAGCGCCTTCCCGCGTGGTCCCTTCCCTCCAGCAGCGCTTTCAACTCCTTCAGCCTTCATCGACGTGCGCCGGGCCGCCACAGGTTTTGTTTCTGTTTTTTTTATTTTTATTTTATGTATTTCAGTAGCATTTCAGTAGCAGCATCATTGTTTATCCTCAATGCCTCATTTTAGTTCCAGGTTTTGTCGACCCCCCCCCCCCGCCCCCAGACAAGCATTGTTTTACTTTTATATTTATGTATTTTCAGTAGTGTCATCGTTTTTTATTTATGATATTTTAAAATTACCCTTACCACAATACCTTCAAATATGAAGACTTGGGTGTTAGATAATGACTACTTATAGACTTAATAATGAACATCAAGCTTAGATTAGAATTTCACGAGTTGGAAAGTATCTAAACAAGTTTTATGATTGAAGTGTTGGATAATGATCATGTACATGCTGCTACAGCAACTCTCTTTATATGCTAAAACTTTAGAATAAGCACATGAACGGACACTCTGCTCAGCATATTTTTGATGTTTGCACATAGGAATGCATGGGCATGCACGTAGGCTCATTTCTTTTTAAATTCCTTTAAGTTGTTTGTTTTTATCTACTAGACACGTTTTCTTGATATAAACACTGTTCTTTGTCAACTTACAAGATCGTTGTCTTGGGGCTTATCACATAACATATGACGAATTCATTTAAGACTTGGTCACCAGAGACATCAAGGGCTCCTTCTAAATGCATATACGATATGAGGACATCTGCAGGTCAATTAATCGAGCAACTTAGGTTTATTCTAGCAAGGCTATTTCAAATAAGTTAGTTTTCTCCGTCCTTGCTTGACGTTGTTGACTACTTATCCAGAGTCGCATCTATTAGTAAGAGACAAGTTTGTATTGCTTTTTATATTCCATTCTTTTGCATTGACCCATTTAATTCAGAACCTGGAGTTGAAAGTATATAGTGAAGTTTTGTCTTAATTCTCAAATGTGTAGTGCATTGTCATAGGATTCTATTTGTGATGGAGAGTTGGCATTAAGTTGGTGAATGTTTTATGAGAATATTATTTAGTTGTTCGATTGGATTAGTGGTTATGATGTTGGAAAGGAATTTACAACGATTAATTGACGGGACAATCACTAAGCCATTCGCTGGTGGAAATTTCCGAGGTGTTGTTAAAAAACAATTACATGATAAGCTAATTTTGTGTATTGTAATAAGAGCTTCTAAACTTATCATTAGTTTGTGTATAATTAAGGATTCTTAATTTTCTATCCTAATTGTGCTATTAGTATAAGAGCAAAGCACAATCCCTTTGGTGTTTATAAATTTCATGAGTTTATGTTACATGAAAAGTTTAAAAAGAACAAAGCACTGTCCCTTTGGTGTTTATAAATTTCATGAGCTTTTATTTTCTTTTTTTATCATTTATTATTTGGTAAAATGCTTTAATACCATGCAAAGGTCATTTGTGTAAATTTACATATATTTTCTTTCCTTCCCTAAGTTCCCTTCCCTCCATTAGTACTCCCAAACAAGTTATATTAATTTCACCTTCATTCACCTTACTCAACTCCCAAACAACATATTACAATTCCCCTTCCTTTCCTTCCCCTCCCTTTCCATTGTTTATCTTTCCTTCCCTTCCCTCAGTGAACTCCCAAACACAGCAGTACAGATCGAAATACAATCATACAGGGCTTAGTGAGAGCTTTTTGATGGATTTCTTGATCTTTTATGTGGAGATAGGATTTTAATGATGAGAGGATCTTGTGCTCGATGATCTCGATTAAGGTTTCACTGAGATTTCTGCATTGAATTAATAAGAGGTGAATTAGACAGACTGAGCCCTGGACATCGAATTGAATCATGAACTCTCAATAATTGCTTGAGAATGAGATAAACAGAAAATAATTATACAATATTTGATAAAAGGAAAATTCAGCTCCATTTTAACAGAATTTAGATCAGAAACGATCCAAAATGCAGCTAAATACTCATTCTAACAATAAATTCTCAAATCCACAAAGGATTGAGTAATATAAAAATAAATCCAACGGAGGAAATTAAAAAAAGAAAAATAACAATTTATGCACTCAATGTTGCAGGAGACCAAGAAATTTCATCTATGAAAACTCAAAAGGAAGACAAATAACACAAGAAAACAAGAAAAATAAATTAGAACAAAAAAACAATACCTTTATTGTAAAAAAGAATATAATTCATATAGAAAACAACTATAGAATGGTAAGAGATCCACATAAGGAGAAGAATTCTATAAATCGTCTAAAGCTTTTGTACTAATGAGGTCTAGTAGAATTACTCCCTATCCTAACCATCCATGATGTTCTTGTGTTAACACTTTATGCGTAAAAATTTGCATTTTCGCAATGAATTTAGAATTTGGTATTTAAGGTAATCAAATGAAACTGATACTGAGGGCCTGCTTATTAACCAAACTAAAAAAAAGGAATAAAGAATTATGATGTGAATGAGTAATAGGAAACATCTAATCTGAGAATATAATAGATTTCTTTCAAATTTTTTCTTTTTTGAAATTTAATAACATCTTCTAAAGTCAATTCTAACAGCTTCATACTCAAATTAGTTCCCCCACTTTCTTTATTCTCAACTTAGTCATTGTATCCCTTATTAGATATAAAGCTAGTCCTATTTGACTCTCCGTTAAAAATTCTATTAAATAAGAGTTGAAAAGACAATTTTGCCCCTACCCAATTTGATTTATTTAAAAAATTTATATCGTATTAAACAGTGGATTTCCTCAAACTATGCTAATTTCAACTTAGCTCTTTGCATAAGTAGTTAAGATAGCTGTGTTTTCCAACTATAAATGCAACTAATAAATCTAAAAAGGGAGAAGCCAATTAAATAGCACAAACTTGAATCCGCGGAAGCTCTTTTTGATGTGCGGAACTGCCAAATGCAGCATGTCTGATGTGCTTGTTTGCTGTAACAGATAGATGAGAGTCCAATTATTTTTTGAAAAAACTCATCATATATGTTTGTCGCAAGGTTCAGCAAATGAGCTTAAAGAGTACAAAGAATATGTACGAATTTAAGATAATGACAACTACTTGATAAATTATATGATTATTTTTCATTATATACTTTCTTACCTTGTCCATTTTAGGTACAAGTTCTAGAAGCTCCCAAAACTTCACTCATTCTTGTTCTTCTTTCCTGTAAAAGAGAAAAAAAATAAAAGTATATAATCTGTTACTTGGGATGGTAGATAGATGATTGATGAAAAATTGTGCTAATTGCGAAGCGCCTAGAATTGCGAAACATAATATGGTATTTAGAATTGGAAATAATGCTTTGTTGACTGCATTGCATGAGGCATTGACAATAAATGCTCCATGATAGTTGGTAGTACCAAGAACATATGTTAAATGTTGTCCAGAATCACTTTTAGAGTGCTTCAGATTTTTTTCCCTGTTCCCTTTACCTGAAGATGATTCGTGATAAAATCATAGGCATCTTCCCTACTATGGATACTCATCTATATCCAAAATAATAATGACAAATAAGAACTAACTTCTGAAAACTTCATCTTGTTAAGCACAAAATTTACCATCATATGAGCATGTATCGAATCAAGCACTGAACTAATTGCATGTCCAAAATAGAGTGTGTTAGTGTAAATCTATGCATGTTACTTTTTACTTCTAGCTTTTGGAGATTTTTTGAATGTCAGAGATACCTATATCTTGATTTCAATGTTGTTTTCACTCATCAATTTGTCAACGACTACACCTCCCCCAGCAATCTCGTGGTCAAAATATTTACATAAATCTTTTAGAGTTGCTTTTATGATATAAACTTAGGTGATAGTACACAGGACAAAGGAGTTAGTATACAGATCAAAGGTTGTTAATAATACAATTATACACCTGAACTATTTTCAAATCCATACTTGGAGGATTAGTAAGGAGCATGTTTGTGTTAGTTGGAGGAACCGCTTTTACATTCCCGGACGCGTTTCAATCAATGTGATAATAGCTGCTACTATAGTTTTCCTAAAACAAACTTTTGTAATAGAGTAGAGAGACCATGTTGGTATTTTAGCCTTACTATATAATAACATGCAGTAGAACCTTAAAATATATGAAGACAACAAAATAAGTATTTTCTGGTATAGAAATTCTATTTAGGTTTCTCTCTTCCAATTAGGTCCAACTTACATCTGTACATGTAAAACATAAATGCAATTCAATGTTAAGTCCCTTGTTTAATTGGCAATACCGCAATTTCCAGCTGGGTATCTAAAAACAGTTCATCATGCATTAATCAACGAAAACCACATATAGATTAATAATATGACAGGTTCAGAGACAAAGGATGAGACTGTAAAGAGAACTCAAGATGGGGAAATTCTAGAGCTTCGTATTTTACCATTAGTTTAGTGATGAATTTGAAGAGGAAAGTTTCAATTTCTGCGAGAAGAGGCCCTGTGATCTTCTGCCTGTTCTTCAGGCGATAGCGAGAGAGGCCTCGAGAGGGACCTAATCGCTCGTTGAGGCTGAAAGACGAAGGCTGCAGCGTGGGGCGAGCTTGAATGAGATAGGTTATGAAAACCACTACTATGAAACTGTAAAGAGAAGTCTAGAAGGTTGAAATTTTAGGGTTTCAAATATCACCATATTAAAATATCACCATATTTTCTCAACTCTTGATATTCAAATATGGTAAAGTTTTAGTAAGAATCGCTTCAATAGATTTGTTTTTTTAATATTATTAATTACAACGCAGCAAAGGGCGCAAGCTGACGACAAATCTCTCACTCTAGGGTTTTTGAGACAGGAAGGTCCATCTCTCCCCTCTTGAGTTTTCGAGACAATTAAGGTATTCTCAACTTCGATTATTACTTTCATCTCTAAACCTAATCCAATACTGAAATTCATCACAGAAATTGGAGACTTGTAAAGAATTAGGGCACAAAATTAGCAAGTGATTTTGTTTGAAGTCGTTGCAGGGCATGGATCAGTGCATTCAGAGGGCGAAGGAAGGGTTTCGTGAATTGGAGCAATGGGCTCGGCATCAGCAGCCGATGGATCTTGTCGCCGCTGTAGCCATCGTCGTCCTCACTTCTTTTCTATTTGTGTTGTGTAAGTCTGCTCTCTAATCGATTTCTTGCTTATTGATACTTGTTTTTGTTAATGAATTGTAGGTAATTTGTTGTATCATCAAAATGTACCCTAAATTTACTGGCATAAGCTAGAAACTTGTTAATATTTAATACAAGCAATTTTATGGGGTTTTTTGCCTATTTACTCCCCAAATCTAGCCACTTTGCAGATATACCCCCAAAATCTGCATATTTGCTGATTTAGCCTTACATTCTCCCACATTGTAATTTTATACCTTAATCATTTGAGGGTAAATTAGCAAATATGCATATTTGAGGGGAGGGTAAATCTGTAAATAGGGTAGCATTAGGGTGTGTAGGAAAAAAACCCTTATTTTTTAGGGAGAGAAAGGGGGTATTGTTGTCATTTTAGTCCTTCTCATTTTGATATTAACAGCGTTAAACGAGAGGAATATTTAAGTCAATTTGGTAGAATGTAGGGCTAGTTTAGTAAATATTCAGATTTTAGGGCAAATCTGCAAATAAGATATATTTGAACTGTAAACTATGCATATACATGAAATTAAATCTCTTGTTTAGAGATATACATGTCCGGATCTTATGTAGGGATTGCCATGCGCCTTGATTTTCAAGCAATGGTCGGGAAGCAATACACCAAGATGGTGAAAAGCTCCCACGAATAACCGCGACTAACTAAAAAAAATACAGAATTGAGAGAGGAAAGAGGAGATGTCAATGTTATTTTCTCTTATTTCTTTTCTTTTCACAGTAAGTTCTCATTTAAAGGGAGAAAATGATCTAATTCTAATCCAATTGGAATTAGTCAAATATCTTATCCCTAGATAATGTAAGTCTCACTTATTTGGGTGTATCCTTATTCATCTATGACTAATATATAATTTTGAAGCATATATAGGTAAACCTTTTTTCCCCCATATGTTCTGGAGGTATCGTAAGGAATGGTAATAGATGAAAATTAAAATAAATTTTGAATTAAAATGAACAGAAAAAACAAAATGAAAATTTCTTGCTAATTATATACAAGATTTCAAACCTTAAAATGGGTGACTAGTGCCTGAATCCAATAATTATTAGAAATTGCATGGTGTCCTACTGGCTACTGCTATTGCTGCTTAGGTCTGAACTTAAAATTTTACAATTACAATGCAGTTATGCTCTAAAGCAAAGTAGCATATAAATTTATGCTATCTGATTTAAAATCTTAGTTTGAATAGCTAAGTATTAGCTTGAAGTGAATTTTCTTCTGGAATCAATGTGAATATTTGGCATTTGTATGCATTCTAGTCGAGGGGATCTGTCTTAGATCTGCTCAATATCCTGACATCAATATTTACATCTTTAAAAGATGGTCCTTGACTCCTTATTGCCTTCCCCTCAGCTGTTCCTGTTTATAATGTTTAGTGCTTGTTGGTTGTACTGAACTGTTGGTGTATGTGATTTGCATGTTATGGGTCTTAGATGTGATGAATTCTGATTGTAAATGTTAGTATTGGATAATTCCAGATTGAGTTAGGCACTTAGGTTATCAACGATTACAACTTTAACCTCAAGTTTTTGAGTTGCTGATATTTATGTCTTTTTAACCATTTGTAAGTTTACCACTTCCAACATGTGCAGTATTGCATGTTGTGGCATGGGGTTTCCAATGATTACACAAACATGATGGGTTCTTAGATCTTTAACCTTTTGTAAGTTTACCACTTCCAACATGTGCAGTATTGCATGTTGTGGTATGGGGTTTCCAATGATTACACAAACATGCTGGGTTCTTTGATCTTAGAATCATGTGAAAGTTATTAGCGGGCTTTCATATAGATATTGTCATCATATCTATTTCTGTCGTTCGATCTGGTCATCAAAGTTTAGCTTGATACACAAATTATCAATGATGATTAACTGGACACAGTTAATTTTGAGTCATAGTTTGTGGTCTCCATCAGGTGATTTTACTAATGATCATGACGGCACAATTGAATTGAATGTTAACTTGGTTATTATCCATCCTACTAGGTAGGATTTCACTTAGTATTATGGGGACTTTTTACCAGACAATTTATTTGTAAAACATGTAACTATGTTATAAAACATATTAACTATTAAGATAGATTTATTGAGGAACAGTGTCTATCCATGATGAAGAAGCCTCAGAAATTGGAAGTAAAATTGTAAGAACGATATTTTTTTTTCACACAATAGAAGTATAGAGTACTTTGGACCAATATGGGGGTTCGTAACATGTTGTGCATCAGTATCCAATTTCTCATCTTCTCTGTTCTTTGTTCTTTCTTTGGGTCGAGAGAGCCCTTCTCACACTAATGGCATACAGTTCTTTTGTCCGTCGAACTTTTGGGTTAAGAAATTTGAGGAAAAATATATGCGGTATTTTTTTGTCTTCTAAATATTGCAGCAGGCATATTCATACTGATCACACACTAACAGTGTCTTATGAAGACTAAGACCAACTCATCAAATTCCAAAGATGAAACATATTCTTGACAGGAACATATTTATAATATATGTAATTTAATTAGGATATTTTTGGGAAATACGAAGTGACGGGCCCAAAGATTAAACTTGTCCTTTGTAATATAGGATAGATATTGCGAATGATCAAAATTACTTAGATAAAAGACGGGCTAATTGGCCACCAGGATTCTAATTTAACTAATTAACGTCTGTATACTACAGAGACAGCCCTTTAAGCTGACTGTTAGTCCAAGCCCCCGCTTACTGAACTAATAAGAGCATTACATCTTAGGATTTACTAAGTTATATGCTCTTACCTAAGTTAGACCAGCCAAGCTGCAAATTCATGACACATATTCTAGAATTACTATGATTAACTATTATTAAAGCCTATACATGATGATGTTGCCGACAAGAATGATGGTGTGTTTATCTTGGTGCAATGTGTTGTTACATTAATTTTTAAAGTTTCATTTGTTTTGAAAATTTCTGGATCTGAATGATACCACACACATTCACAGACGATGTTGTATAAGAAAGTAATTAACAAGTTTTTTTTACGAAATGCTCTAGGATATATATTCTTAACTCCAAAACTATTTCCTATGGTTAATTGTTTGGTTTAGAGAATTTAAGGCTCCATTATATTTCGTTTATTGAAATACATTCTAAATCCGAGTGCTAAATTCCTTTCCGGATGTGGAGCGGATAAGGTGGAAAATGGTTCTACCTAAAAAGGAGAGGACGGTGAAAGATAGTTAATTAAAGTAGAATACTAGAATGAATAAAAAAACCCAGAGGAAGCAACGAACGTGGATAATCAGTAGCAATCAAATATCAAATATTTTCAAAAGCAGTTCTGAAATTTCTAGATGACATTGTTGCATACTGCATATAGGAAAACATTCCATTTCCTACTCAAATACTAACCTGAGTGAGACAGTTTCGACCAAATTATAACTCGAACAAAGAAATATAACCAATTCTTCTTGAACACTTAGAGACAATGACTGTTCTAACAAAGATGACGCTGAAGGAGATCTTGCATATCTTCCAATGGCTATTGTGAAATCTAAAGTCTCTAGAAGGGTTCTCATCAGAAGGATTCTGTATGCTGTTTGGTTTGCATGCGATTTACCTGTAGCATTTCCTGTCACAGAAAAGTGCCGTTCTATTGTTTGGCTAGTTATGGTGCTCAAGGTTTATAGAAATCAAGTTGATTTATTGGTTACTGCAAACTGAATCCATTTGTTTTAATAATTCAATTGCTTCTCCATTTATATAAATGCCACTCATAAAAAAGAAAAAGAAAAAAAAGGCTAAGCCCTCATACACTGTGAACTTTGTTTAAATTATTCTTCAATATCGAATCAAATGATGAGCTTGAAACTCAGCTGGAAGTGCATCCTTCAAGTACGTTGGACCTGCAGCTTTTGCTGCAGTACTAGCTGCATGGTAAATGACACTGCAATTTTCTGCAGTTTAAAGTTCAGTATACTTGTTTTGATAGTGGGAAACCAGTGAAAGGAAGAGAAAAGGTAGATTATAGGTGAGCTTGAATTTGTTCTGTTTATTCTACTTTCGACAATTTTGCTTCAATCCTTTTTTTCTTTACATTTGCTGATTTACACCATGTCCAATTTGAGGCATGCATATGCGGACATACATGAACTATCTTCATATCTATTCATCAAATCTCATTCTGCTTGTCTTTCCTAATTACCATTATCAGACTCAGATGGTTCTTTAATTCGATCTACTTGTTTGTGATCACAGTGAGTTGCCTTAGGCGCAGAAAGTCTAACACAATAGTTCTTGCGGGTTTGAGCGGCAGTGGAAAAACTACTCTTTTCTACCAGGTATGACAGTAGCTTCTCGAAACTATTAAATTCGACTGCTGATAGTGATGGAACATCAACATTCTTAGGCTCATGACAGTACAATTAAACATTATTGGTCTGGTGAAAACTTCCACTTACGCATTAATGGGCCAGTTCTTGAAGGTCATAGATTTCTACTTTACTAATGAATGAATCAGCTTCGTTCAAGCCCATATTATGCCTAGCATTTGCTGCTGCAGAATAAACCAATTTTAAAATGGGATAAGATGCTCGATAAGGAATGAGTTCCAGTATCATAAGTGTTTCCTCATAAGAACAATCACGAATCTGATCAAATACTCTTCGTGCTTTGAAAACGGACATAGATTTCTACTTGTAGGAGATAGTGATATATTTATCTTACTAAAGGAGTGGATATGCTAGCATATGGAAAGGTAAAAGAGCTGAAAGTCATTGAAGATTCCATATATTATGTTTCCCTGAATATCTTTTGTACCCGATATGGCTATGAATGTGTATTGATACGCTTTTCAAAATATCTGGATGTGGATACTGCAGTATCCATATCACTTTCCTCTGAAGATCTCGCTTAATATTACTATAATAGGTTGAATCTTAGGGAAGTAAGCTGCATAAGCAATTATCCTTAATATGAAAGAGGAAGTTAAAACTTGATGCAACACTCATGGGATTGAAAAATGAGACTGAAGGTAAAGCAATTCGTGATAGGCAAAACAGGCATATTCTCCAACGATTCTTTTCTCTTTTTGGTTTGGCTTGATACTTAGCTGATCGGAGAGCTATTCAATGATACGATTACCACCTATCACTAAGTATACATCTGCAAAGCCTAACTGGAAAATCAATAAATAGATCATATCAAACAGGAAAACAGAGGATTCTTATTGTACTACTAAGTACTCAAATACCACCCACGTTCTAAAATGTGATTTTGGTAACTCAGGTGAAACTAGGCTGGATATGATATGCAGCCTTTGACTTACTGTCTACAGTGGTTTTATGCTAAGTCCAAATAATGACTCCAATTAATCTATCGGGGAAATCCAAATAATGAAAGTGGACTTCCCCAGACAAAAATTGAGGATCTCCTCAGATCTGTCTTAAGTAGTACAAATTAATAGTGGTATTGTAACAGTAGAGGTGATAAAACCGTAAGATGTGAGTATAGTATGGTATAGGACTTGGAATATATGGAATATGTACTGTAAAGGAATTGAATAAACAAAGATTTATGACATAAATGAGGCTCTATGTTGGAAGGCAACAGTCACTTGCGTTTGGAGACTGTAAATTTCCCAGCAATTTTGTGCTGCAAGCCCACAGCCTAATATTGGGGTTCATATTGGTGGGTTTGAGGTGCTGGCGATCTTTGAGGATTTGTACTTAATTCTTTGTCTATGTCGGTATGAGGAACACATGTATAGTTTGAGGAAGAGAACCTAGAACAAGCTTGAAACTTCTTTTGAGGCCAAAATTAGCATAAACGTTTGACTTCTACCTCTCTTGGAAGCTCTAAGAATTCCCTTGCAAATAAGACAGACGGGCTTCTTGCAGTATGATAAGTTATGCTTTTCCTATTACCAGGTTAACTTAGTTACTGCTGGTGTTCTCATTTGCCTCCTTTCTTGTTACTTTAAGGTTATTTTAAGTAAAATAGTGAAGCTTCATGTGATACCAATGCATTGCTTATTTGATATAGTTAGTGCTGTACTATATTTTGACAGGTGGGTTTCTTGCAATATGAAATCCTATTACCAGCTTAACTTAGACAGCACGATGTTTTTCTTTTTACAAACCCGCCCCCCCCCCTCCCTCTCTTGTCAATTTCAAGTACAAGTGTCAATTTCAAGTACAAGTAAGCATGTGCAGCTTCATCTGATACCGATGCGTTATTGTTCATATGATATGTTCATCTTTTACTACGTTCTGATGCTGATTTGAAATGTTTAAATTGACACCATAATCTCATTACAATGATAGGTAATTGTTTATGCTTTTACCTCACTGTATCTTTTGTGCTTTTCAACCCAAAAACTTATGTATATCAATTTTCATCTGATAGCTTCGTGATGGCTCCTCTCATCAAGGCACTGTCACGTCAATGGAACCGAATGACGATAGTTTTGTTCTGCATTCTGAAGCTGATAAGGTAAATGGTGCATGTTAAATAATTGCTTAGTTATAAATAATGCTGAAAGATCATATAGACATATACTTACTAAATGAAATGATATTATCATGTGTAAGATAATTGAACATGATGTTTACAGTCTTTATGTTCACTTCTGAATTAACTATCACAATTGCACTGAAGGGCAAAGGAAAACCAGTCCATGTGGTTGATGTTCCTGGTCATTCTCGACTTCGGCCGAAGATTGATGACTATTTACCACAGGCAGCTGGCCTTATTTTTGTTGTGGATGCTTTAGATTTCTTACCAAATTGTCGAGCAGCTGCTGAGTAATCACTTACCGCATTCTTTTCAATCTCCTTATAATATTGTCGCCCTATTTTCCTAAAACATCGTTTCTTCTCATTGTAGGTATCTCTATGATATACTGACAAAAGCAAGTGTAGTAAAGAAGAAGATACCCATTCTGATAGTGTGCAACAAGTCTGATAAAGTGACAGCTCACTCAACGGAGTTCATCAGGAAGCAGTTAGAGAAGGAAATGTAAGTTCAAAACTTTACTCTTACTCGTTATGATGAATGTGTTCTGCAATTTAATGTCAATAAATATGTTTTGACAAAATTCAATATATTTGGAAAATGGAAATAGGCACATGCTTATGGTGTCACGTATCTGCTTGTTCAGTTTCGAAATTATGTTTAACTTGGTCATGAAATTACATATCTGCTTGCTCGGTTGTCCTCAGCTATCATTTTCTTATCAAAAGTTGAAACTAAATATTTGCCTTTTACGTTTGGCCTCCACCAGGCGTTTAGAGTAATTATGTTTTTTTTTTTTGGAATTAAATTTCACAAAACTATCATGAAGTTTGGGCCTTTTCTTTTACAAAAACTACCGTGAAACTATCATGAACTAAACTACCATAATTGACTTGGGTAAGTTGTCATGTGCTTCATATGCCACATGTTCATGAACTACGTGGGAGGCTAATATATAAAAAGAGGTAGTTTCTATTTTTTATCCCAAATGTTCACGCAATTAGCGATGTTTTGCTGATAGTTCATGGATTTTCTGTAGTTTTAAAAATTCATCGTAGTTTTTTCTAAAAAAATAAGTTTATGGTAGTTTGTGCTAAACTCCCTGAAGTTCATGGTAGTGTGAATTTTTTCCTTTTCTTGAGTAGATCTTGTGGACAGTCAATACAAATATGTGCATGAAATTGGGTTGTACAATTGAACTGGAGCTTTTGCGCCATACAGGAATCTTGAACTGTGTTAATGGCGTCAACAAAAGCACAATGGAAGCACGTGCAACACACACACACACACACACTCTCTCTCTCTCTCTCTCTCTCTCATGTACAGAACGCCAATCACTGGGGAATTCTCCATTAGAGATATTCATATTTTCCATTAGGGACGCCCACTTTGGGGTTAAAATGACTCGAATTCAGGTTTTAGTTGTAGTAGGGACATTACTTAAGGCAACATTTTCTCTCTTAAAATGTCTCGATTTCTTAGATGGTTAATTATGCCCTTATTTTTTGGCAGTGACAAGCTTCGAACATCAAGAACTGCCATTTCTACTGCTGACATTACTAACGAATACACCCTTGGTGTACCCGGAGAGGCATTCACCTTCTCTCAGTGCGTTAACAAAATCACAGTGGCCGGATCATCTGCTCTTAATGGTGAAGTATCTCAGATCGAACAGTTCATTCTAGAGCATGTGAAGCCCTAAAGTACGTTCGGGGTTGTATTTTCTGCTGCAACTTTTTTATTTTTTCTTTGGTGAGAGCTCTGGAGGGACAGATTCATGGACTTCTTGGTTACATGATGTATGATGGCTTTAAAACTCTTTGAATTGAGCGGTAAAATTAGTTGCTGCAAATGACTTGCCAATGAGTTTCTATATTGGAAAAGTGGTGTGGTTGTAATCTAATTGATACGTGCGTTTAGATATTCGAGATACAGGTCTAGATTCTTATTTCGAAAAATTAGCAAAATATATTTATATGGGTATCTATATTTTATTATTTAGAGGTATTTAGTATCCATATAGTAACGGATGCATACATGTATCTTGTGGCTGTGATCTGGTAAAAGACAGTAAAAACGGGAAATAAAGATGCATAAATTGATCAAATTTCCCTATGTGTTAAAGCTTCGCCATTGTTGCCCAATTAGGCAATTACATCTTGTAATAATGAGTAAATGTTGGGGTTAATTGCCCTTGCACCTCCTTGGTTTTTTTGGCAGGGAGTTGGAGCACGTTTTGACATTATGGATTGTTTATCCACTTTGTTCATAATCATTTTTAGATTATAATCAAGTGGATTATAATCCAAGTGAATTGTAATCCCTTTGATAAATTTAATTGCACTTGCACCTCCCATTCGCTGTGTGCTTCGTAGCTTGACGTGTATCATGATCTAATGAGCCCTTGATCTTATGAAACCTTAAAATCTTGTGTTGGTGCAGGACCAAAATCCAGGGGGACTCATTGGAAGCAGACTGTTCTGTACCTTGAAGATGTGCTGACCATTTGTGAAGGTGAAGCGTTGGTTGGCACTTGGAAGCAGACTGTTCTGTACCTTGAAGATGTGCTGACCATTTGTGAAGGTGAAGCGTTGGTTGGCACAATGACTGTTGAGCCCAACAGCAAGAACCCTCGAGATATTGATATCACATTTTTTTTTTTTGCGAGTGTAGCGATGATAATTATTCTAATATGCTTTGCTACGAGTCATTTATTTCCAAAAAGAAATTGTTTGCTGCTACAGATGCGAAGCATGTAACGTAGAATGGATTAATTAGTGCAGTGAAAGCTTTATCGTAGAATATGTCTTGTCAATTTAACTTCATCTCTCCATCGACACCTTGTGGCTTGTTGTAGGAACAGTTGATGTTCTCTTGATC